GCACTGACTGGTTATGCTTGGGCTTTGGGTCTAGGTGCATTGATGTCTTCGCAAGACATTTCACACTACGTTACTATTATTGAAGGCCTGCATTTGGGGTCTGCGACATTAGTTGCACTTAAGTTTGCCTTGGCCTTTCCATTGGCATTTCACTCTTGCTGCGGTGTTCGCCATTTGCTATGGGATACCGGCCGTTTTCTAAAAATTACTGAAGTTTATTTGACTGGTTATGTAACTCTTGGTATTAGCCTCATACTGTCGGCTATTTTGGCTTGTTTGTAAACACATAACTGAATCAATTGGATATTTTTCTTGTTACCTTATGTTGCAGAGACCTTATTTAAATTTATTTGGAATATTGGAAAATTAAAGTGATCTTAGCGAAAGTAAATAACGATACGTATGTAGTTCTTTTTGAGTATTAAAACTAACCGAGTGCTTAATTTTGCATTATGCAATGGAAAATTTATAGATCTTACCTAACTGGAGATGTAGCGATAAGGCGTTTAACCTGTTCATCGCAATTTCAGGAGAACCTATTTCTTCAATATAACCGAATTTTAACACTTCCGATGTCTTACGAAATTCATATCCTACCAAATCGCATATCTATAATACGAGCTCACAAGCATATTTATTCAGCAAGAGTTCATGGAGAGAGAGAGTTATTGAAGGTGGTGAGCGACACCCGCCTAGAATGTCGGGGCAAGCTGTCCGGCCAGGCAATTTCGAGCGCGAAACATTTTGCAGGATATCACTCTGACATACGTTCGCTACTCAGAGATAAAAACTGAAAGGTAGTAGGTGACTAACGCGCACCACGACCTTTGTCACTCATTCCCTGCAAATGATCGTAAGGGAATCTTATTGGATGAGCAGATAGACGATTCAATGCGACGAGACGTCCCTATCAGAATTATGGGTAGCTGCAGCAGTTCTGTAGACCTAACAATTACTAACGCAGGCCTGATTAATCATCATCAGACCATCGTAATATCGATCAACAAGCCCTCCTTTGCTCCTATGTCAACTTTACCTAAGCTGTTTGGAACGGTTTCCCGGAAGCTAATGAGGGCAGTTTCGCCGCCTTTCCCACACCCACAAACGTACATGCTGGCAATCGCCAGTTCCCCAAGGTAGTTGCTGCCGCAGCGGCCCGCATCAGCATACATGATAATTGGCCAGACGGTTCTGAACTATGCTGCGTCTGTTTGGTCCCCGAGGATTAGTTGGACGTAGTGAAGAAGCTACAGACTTGTCAGAACGCCGCACTACGGATAGCGCAGGATATCTTCTAATGTCGTCTGACTACCACCTACAAAATGCTTCCCGTAAGGGAGCATAACGAAATGCTCAGCCCGGTTGAAACAGCTCGTCTAACCTGGTCGAACCCGGTCGAAACAGCTCGTCGCTTGGTTCTACCGCTAGTTGAACTTGACTACAACGATTGATGGCCAAACCGACCTAGGCGGGTCTTAGTAGTGCCGCTTCAAAAACAACAACGACTCTAAGCATTCAGTTAATAGCTTGTGTGTACACCATCGGGCCCAGTAGTTTTTCAATGTAAATCTCGACCGCGTCCTTGTATTCGGAAAGATGACTACTGATGAGCCTGCGTGACTGTGCCTTTTTAAGCATATGCCTGTTCGGGTGCTCGCGTCTGTCGCACCCTACTAAGAACTGCTTGCCGAACAAGAGGTTGTGTTCTCATAGCTGCCGAAGATCACTTGCTTTTAAAGTCTTGAAGGATATTGGCCATTTTGTGGGTTTTAGAAAAATGTCGAAAACAGTTTCGCGAATTACTCGGCCAGCTGTACGACCTGTACTAGGTCACTTAAATATTTCGTGATTTAGTCCTTTAGCAAAAGGTTCCTACTGAAATAGAGATAATTAAGCCATTTTAAAATGTATGTCGATTTCATCTTTTACATGGAATGACCCTTAGGTAGGAAATTAGTAACATAATTTCGCCATGTATCCACGCTTTCGAACAAACTTAATAGAAAGACAATTCCCATTGATTGCGTGAAGTTTAAAGCGTCCGACAGAAGTAACCGCCAACGGATGGTGGTTCTAAAAAAACATTGATAAAAACTAGCGCTTCGGCGTTAACACAAGTACACCTTGTACACCCCAATACAACACAATTTTTTTTTTAATTTCTTTTGTTTATTTAATGTTTAATATTATTTTTTTTTTATAAAAGCATGGCCCACTATCTAACAAAAATACATATGTACATCCAAGTTTTTTAGTTAAGTTTTAGTATACAAGTAGTTACTAAAAATTTCCGTTGATTTTTGATGATTTTTCCGCTGACGGTGTTTGTCATTTTCTTCCATATAGAAAAAAAATTCAAACATACTTTTTATGGAAACTACTTAATGTATTAAATTTTAGAATGGGCTACCTAATTTTTTTCCAAAATTCTGAATAAAAAGTTGGAAATTTTGATGAAAGTTTGCAGAATTTTTATATTTTTTTGCACAAAGTTTGGAATTTGGATTTATGTGTTTTTGTTAAATACGTACAATATTCGTAACTCATACGCCATGTAGTCCATTGAACATATGGACGAAACTTTGAAAAGAGCTCAGTGACCTTAGTCTTTAAGATTAAACCACTTACCGCTTTTTAAATCTTAGCTTGTGGAAGCCAAGTCTGCAAATAAATGACAGGACAAATTTATTACCTGTAGATATCAGGTACCTATGCATATACATAATTATATAGTACATGGGGCGTTCCATACCAAAACAGGCGGGGTTCACACTTCATGTGTTTGATTTGTTTCAAATTCTTAGGGTTGATGCATAAACATAAATAATAAATAAATATAAAACTTGAGCTTAATTTAAAAAAATATCACAAATACACACACCGAAATTCTCTATGAAAATAAATATTTAAAAAATTAAATTATAGCTCTGAGTATTGCGCAATATTTAAGTATAGTACTATGGGGTGCACTCTACAATAATT